AAGGCAAACCAGCCTCCAGTGGTACAGCAGACAACGCTGGGTAAACAATTTCGGGTTCGATTCGAACCTGACCGTCCGCTAAATTTGTCACTTTTTGTGACATCGCTGCGTTTACTGTTTGCGCGGAATTAGCATGACTGTTCACAACCCTTGGGCACTCAGAACGTTTATGGAAACCACGGCATACATAGCACCTTAAAGGACCTGTGTTGCGTTGAAACCTACCTCGTGATGATGGACCATCATCATCATCTTTCCTGTGTCGCTTGTGGGGACAATCGGGAGTTTTGTGTCTCCACGAAAGACAGATTGAACAAGCAGATGAACGGGGTTGATAATGTTCACCCTGCTTTTTGGACGTTTGATCTCTATGGGGTGGTTGTCTCTGTTCGCTGTGGCTGCGATAGCGCCCCTGCCTATTATGGCATTTGTTCCACCCGGGCCGATTTGACGAGGCGTTGTGATGCACCCTAATACTGGATGCAGCTGGGAGTATGTCCTCGAACCTGGGGTTGTGTAATGGTTTACCAGGATGTGCAGTGACATACTGTTCTCCCAATGTTGTCATCTCCTCAACTGACTTCGGTTTCCTTTCTTGAAAAAATGAGAACATCTCCGAACTACATGAAGACAAAATTTTATCTCGAATAATGAGATCAGCCAACTTATCATAAGAGTTTTTAACATCTGCCAATGTCACCCAACGCGTAAACAACGTTCTAACGCGGGCCACAAAATCAGCGAAACTTCCATCGACGGATGGCACAACAGATTTAAACTGCACACGGTAACCTTCTTCGGTCATGCACTTCGACGCCAACAGTTTTTTGTTTGACTATTTCGAACGACGCGCGTTCGTCTTCTGATAAGTTCGTGAACGTGTTCAAAACTGGTCCCGTTAGCAAATCCCTTAAACGTGATACCCATTGTTCCTCTGGTATCTTAGCTGTATTCATCGCTAACGAGAAGCGATCCAAAAAATTATGAAGATCTTCTGTAGGTGTAAGAAACGGTAATTTGGGTATGTATACACATGCCCCTTGTTCAGAACCCGAACGGCTACTAGTCACAAGACGACGGCTCTCTGATTCTGACACAGCAACAACCTTGTCTCTATCTATACGCGCTAGTTCTAATTCGTTCTCCAAACGTAACCTTTCCAAATTAGTCTCCATTTCGAAACGCAGTCTCTCTGCCATAGCTTCTTTTTCCCAGCGTAGTTTCTCAGCCTCAGCTTCTTTTTCCATGCGTAATTTCTCCAACTCCATTTCTTTTTTCCAGGCGCGTTCCGCTGTTCTCTCATCGCGTAACTGGTTATCTCTGTCCGACAACTCTTTCATTCTGGCTTCGGCGAAAGCTAAGAGTTGTCCATTTTCTAGGCCTATACTTCGACCTAACTCCAAAAAATCAGCAAACGTAGACATATTTAACTAATATGACAATCAATATACAATATATGATATATATGATAGTGTGTGGTGAAGTGACGCCACAGGACAACGAATACTGCGTACTGTCACACACGTACAATTAATGTGCCACTCGCTCTCCACTTGCGCACGGACAACCAGGTTCTCTGGAGGAAAGAGTTAAAATTGTCAGCGCAACAGAAACCACAACAACCACAATTGACTTACCAATTGGGTGGCGTACAAACAACACACTGCAATGTTAGCGATGAAAAATCGCTAAAATAACGACCGGTACAACGGCAAGTAGCAGATCAATGTACAACCAAAAGGACGACTTGATCCGATTCAATCCCACGGAGAGTGGCACAGTCAGTAACGGTGACTTGATTATGATGAAGATCCAGCGAAGTATGATACGGAGATCCAACGAAGAGTGATCCGGTCCCGATGAAGATCCAACGAACGAAGAATGATACGGTCCCGATGAAGATCCAACGAAGAGTGGCACAGAGATCCAACGAAGAGTGATTGATAAAGTCCAGATAAAGATCCAACGATGGCTAGAACAGACCGGCGGCGGCGGCGACTTGATACATTGAACGATATCCACAGCTAGAGATATGTTAAGACTGTGACAACTGGAATGTGCTTCGTGTACAACTTGAGGCACAACAATGCGGCAAAATGTCGTATCACACTTGTGACGAGAGGTTCCTCATTCTTTAAAGGCTGGCCTCCATTGTTACGTGCGGTGCTTCATTGTGGCGTGTGTTAAAAGTGACTAGGGGTGTCAGAAGTTAACAAGTGGCATCAACACTTAACATGCCACTGGCCAAGAGTAATGAATGCTGAAGCTTCCGTAGTAGAACAAGAACTCTCTTTAAAAGTTCCATTTGTGTATTGACAAATGCAATGCAATGATTAATTTCAAGAATACATATGCAAGTAATAATCAACTCGTTCAACCAAAGCTCGCTCGTACATCCATGTAATGATATGTCCTCACGATAGGTCGCAGTCCGACCTTGAGATCATGACAATCATCTTGGTCCTCGGACAAGTCCGAATTAAGCAATGAAAGTATACCGGCATACTGCCGAAAATGTAACGTTTACCAGCTTCCTGCTGAGGTCTTGGAGTCCCGGGGTAAAACGTCCTCAAGGATCCAACTTCAACTTCATATAACGTTTGCTCCGTGGGATCCCGGGGTAAAGCGTCCTCAAGGATTCCCACGTCCGTCTCCTTCGGACTATAAACATCAACTGCTTTTTGACAACAACAATATCATAACAACGTTACGTATTGTTTTGACGTCTTATTTGCTCACTCCGTACTGGTGCGTTCTGGTGCACATTCGCACGCGACATCCTGTCTTGTGACGCTCGATAGGAATTGTTGGGAGCAGAATCCAGCTGCTGTCAATGCCGAGGTATGCGCGCTTATCAGTGACAAGTCAGATGGGACAGATGTGGTGATCTTCACAGACAGGTCCTTTATTCGAGGACATAAGTGTGCATGGGCATTTACAGCTCTTCAGGCAGAACAGTTAAAAAAGCCAGCGGTGCCTTCTCCCTGACCACCAGCAGCATGACAATGGAGGTGATAACGGTGACACAGGCTTTCATGTGGCTGGGATCACAGGACTATTCCCCCGTGAGTGTGCTGAGAGATTCTTTGATATGATCCAGCTGGTCGAGGCAGGCTGGCTACACAGACAGTGGCTTGAGTCATTGCAAAATTCTCCTGTGTGCGCAGTTACTTTCATATTCGTCCCAGGACTTGCAGGCGTTGTTGGTAATGAGAGAGCTGTATACTGGCAGGTGCTGCATTAATTGAGGATGGCCGGCCTATGGATCATGCAGACATTGTCATTGCCCTTAGAGAGATAGGTGTTCTGAGGATTTTAAAAGCAACGTGTCTACATCACTTCTAAGAATACGCGTATTGGGAGTAAACATCGGCACAGCCAAGCATGAGAAGCACACTGGACGCACACAAAGTCTTTTTAACCAACATAGGACTGGTACTATTAACCGCACAACGCTGATGAATATGTTGAGAGGGAAATCTGAGCGCCTATGGATGTGTCCAAAGTGCTGTGAAGATAATCTAACTCATAACCCCTCTATGTGATCCCTGAAAGACAAACTTCTGTCAAATCTGATTCCCAGTTACCGCAGTCTGCTGTCTCTTTTGAGTCTGGGAATATCAGCTCTCACAATCCTGTTATCCAAAGAACACCACAGGACGGTTGCCTTTTTTGGGTTGATTACAGCCCTCATCTCTGTACACCAGTCGATCACCTTATCTACTGTTGCCTGTAACTCTTGGGCTATTTGATTCCGATCTCTCCCCTTCCTAAATATAAGAACATCATCTGCAAATGTCAATATTCTGCCAACTCCAGGTGCTTCCAGGCGGGCAATTTTGCTTGTAAAAACATTGAATAGTACAGGTGAAATTGCAGATCCCTGTGGCATTTCTGGAGCTATAATACATGGTTCAGAGGTCCATGAACCCAGGCGAAGAGCTACCCGGCGAGTATACAAAACGGCTGCTATCCAATTCACCAACCACGGACAGACTCCCTTCTCCATAAGCACTTTTATCAAGATACTGTATCTGACTCTGTTGTAAGCGTCTTCTAAATCGAGTGCCGCTTCCACTGTTTCCTGTGTGTTCTGGAAACAATCGAAGATATCAAAGGCAAAAGTGGCTGCATTTGAGCATGTGTCCTTCCCTGGCCTGTAAATTCCCAATCCTCATGGAAGGAGATTTCTCTGTTCCAAAAATTCTTTTAGCTTACCCGCTACTATCATCTCCAGCAGTTTACCAAAGGTGTTTTATAGGGTTATGATCCTAAAGACATCTGAATAGTTTGCAGTAAACATTCTCTTTTGTGTGTCTTCATTGTTGAGCTCTCTAGTAACATTTTCTATTTATGTTTTTTTTAAACCCTAGTTCGACATTAGTCACATCTGTAAAATTATATTATTATTTCCAAGTGCACGTGTAAATGCAATTTTACCATTTCTCATTATTAGGAGCATGATGTTGATGTTAAGATGATTCCTGTTTTATTAAAGTGTCTGTTTCAGAAGGACAGCAGAACTTTTCAGGGGCACACTAAAACTAATTACTACTGGTCCCAGCATAAGATTTGTTTGCATTTTTGATTAATCTTGATTGTCCTATTGTGCCATTATATTTCAGTTAGGGCTCACTGTCTATTTCTCCATTCTGTCTATCCTGTGCAATCAGTTGAATATTATAAATAGAATCTAGTCCAGCACCTTTGGCCTTTCTCATCAAGGTTTGTTGTAAGATTTCTTTTCGGGGTCATCCTCAACTGCTTGATTACTCAGTTTAGACCTCGTTTAGTGATTCTTCGCTTGTTTCTTTCAGGATATGTCCAGTAAAGCACCATTTACTCAGTCTTATAACTGTTGAAATTAGTGGTTGCCTAGACGTTTCTCTTACTTCTGCATCACTCTTGAATTCAACCCATTCTTTAAAGAAAAAAGTTGACATTTCTTTCCCTTCAAAACTATAAACATTTTGAACTAACTAAATGATAAATGATTGCAGGTATTTGTGGAGAAATCTGGTATTCTTCTTACTGCTAGCTTTGACAAAGAGGCATCTAAAAGTGACTCAATTGATGAACTACTGGATATTGAACTGCCTTTACACCTGGGAGGGCCACAGCTGCCTGAAAACTTTACAGAATACAACATACCTTTAGTGAGTAGGATTTGATATACTTCTTCTTTTTTCTGCATTTACTCTTGAAAATGCTAGACACATTGTATAATGATTTATAGCTTGGCTGCAATAGCTTATCTTTTAACTCAACACATCCAGTTTCAGTAAACACCTTAATTAGTCACCTGTGACAACACGCTTGCTAGGGGACAGTGGAACTGTTTACACCCCCCCCCCCCCCCAATTAGTCATCTATGACAACACACTTGCTAGGGGAAGTTGAATTGTTTATCCCCCCAGCCCCAATTAGTCACCTGTGACAACACGCTTGCTAGGGGACAGTTGTGTTGTTTATCCTTGAGGCTCAATTAGTCACCTGTGACAACACGCTTGCTAGGGGACAGTTGAATTGTTTCTCCCCCCCCCCCCCCCTTTTCAACTTCCCCAAGGGGCCATGGAGACCACAAGGGAGAATACCTTTTCAGTATTTCATTATAAATACCATAGGGGTATAAAGTTGTGCTTGAAGATTGGACTTTATGTGGCCGGCCATTTGAAAATCTCAGATTATGACACTACTCTTGCCAAGTCATAATTCTCCGCCTGTTCACAAGTTCGCTTCACTCTGGGTAAACTGGAAATTCACATTATTGTTCAAATATGGATGCGCTCACTGGTCGAATAGTGAAGCTGATGCTCAATTCCAGTAAGGTCAAGACTGTTTTAAACTGTGCTCACTTACCTAATTGTGTGTAAAACTAGAGAAAGTACAAATTATGGAATCATATTTTGGGTTTCATGACAGAGACTGAGAATAGGTGTGTTTATGCAGTGGAATAAGGCATTGATTGTTCTTTAACCCTACCAGACCTGAGGCCCTGAACCGAACTGTCCTTATAACCTGAGCTCCTGGGCACTAACACGAAAAAGCCAACATGATATACAAAAAAAATTAGTTACATGCAGACAAGTGGTTAGAATAAGATAAAACTTGGAGACATTGTACAAAACAGGTTTACCTTTCATCTAACGCCAATCTTCCACCTCTGTATGCCAATCCACCTAGTAGGATCAGTCTTGTTTCACAAAGTAAGCACCAGATATTGCTGTTTGAGGGACACGCCCCCTTCTCTTACTATTGATCTAGTTTTAAATCTATAATTTTGATAATTCTCCTCCTCACTCTAGCTCTCACTGACTGTGTCACTTCAACTGGGAACGTATTCTTCATGAACGTATTCACAGTCTGAATAAACCAAAGTATCGATCACCTGTTGGACTGTGAAAAGCCTAGACCTACGTCACTTTCTTGTCAAAGCCGCTCTTTTCATTGAGAATTTTCTGAATTTGTTTCACATCTCACCACACAAAGAAATCTCAACACACGTGGGAAGTCATTCGCAATGACTAACAACGAAGTCTGATGGCGATTGGCTGGTTATTTTTAGTCTGTGACGCATATTTTTCACGTACAACGTAAATTCCCGGAAAAGTGGGCCAGCGATATAGTGGCTTGTTAGGAAATTCCCGGAAAATCGGGCCAGCGGTCTGGTAGGGTTAATGATTAACCATGTCTGAGATCATTTGCTATAAAAACTACTAAATAAAAAAAAACTAATCGTGTCAAAACAGTTGACATTTATTCTGATACATTTCAACAGGTGAACCACAGCGTCAGGGGGTGCATCAGATCTCTGAAAGTGAATGGAAGAAATATCAACATCACAGACACCCAGGTAATCCAGGATGTCAGTGGCTGCTACAAGAATGTGGAACCTGGAGCCTTCTTTGATGGAGAGTCTTGGGGGGCTTTTGGTAAGGGAACTTGTGCTTGGCTGTGTTCATTTTGATTTTCTTTAATGATCTAAGCCTGACTATACCTACATAATACAGTCATTTATGTTATTATATCTTTATTATAGAAAAATAACATATTAAAGGGCATATGTGCTTTAGGGAAGCATACACTGGTACACACTTTAGTGTTCTTTCAAAACCAAAACAGTCCTAAAGTAATCCTTCCTGGGAGAATAGTAGAAACAGCAGAATGGAGAGATTACAGATCAGAGAGTGACAGCTTTGATAGTATAAATAATTTAGACATGTACCTTACAGTGGATAGATTTACCAAATAAATCATGTTTGAATCTCAGTCGGTACAGAGGAAGGTTTACAATAGACATCTGTGGCATAAGATATCAAGCATCAGCATTAAAAGGAATTACGTAGGTATACTGTCAGAAACTGACAGAAATAGGAGGTAATAAACATGTGGATTTTTCTTGCTGCAGAAGTGACGGCAGTAGCCTCACTTATAGGGCAGATATTCTAAAGACTGTTCATGAAAGACTGCTGATTAAAAATGCAAGGTTAAATTAAAAAAACCGGTAAGGTTGCGTGAATAGGAAATTAAGTGTAGTTCCAGCTATTTAAAAAAAATATGTGAGAAGAAGATCATGACGTGTGTACAACTAGTGTGCTGCTGAAACAGCATCTACACATTGAGACATTAACTGCCAAAGATAGATCATTGATGGATATGCCTGATATGTTGTGATGTTGATACTTTAATCAGTGCATCAGATTTGTTTATGTTTTTAAACAATAATGTACAAATTTAGTCCCATACACATGAAAACTCACATAAATATTAAAAACTGCAAATGTATGATACTTGGATGGGAACTATATTCTACATCAGATTCATTTCTTGCTTTTACAGTTTAATTTTCTCTTTTATTTGTAGGCATTTGCCAGCATGGACTTACATGACACATCCGAAAGCAAATACATTTCATATTTCTCTGTTGTGATAGGTTCTGACTTTGTTCTGGAGCCAAGATACACCATGAGTATGGATTTAAGAACAACAAGCAAAACAGGCGTTCTGTTATCAGCAAGTTCTCGGTACGGATTTGGCTTCACACTGGAGTTACATGATGGCAAGGTAGTAGGCTCTGCAAAATTAGATATAGTAAATTTGAACAAAGATATAAACAACAGATTTCACAATTTTATTACAGAATGAAACAAAGCAAAGTAATTGGATCTTTTTTTTTTAAATACAAACATAGAATACTCTCAAATGTAACTGACTGTTTCACAGGGGTTACAGTTAATGCTCAGAAGAGTCCATATCATGACTGAAGTCACATAAGAAACAATGTTGGCATAGAAACTGTATCAAGCATCATACAAGGTTAGCTACTGAAATGATTCACCCACTTGGAGAGAATGGGAGCGCCATGGTGTAGCGGCTAGACACTCACCTGCAAATCCAGTTACATTCAGGTATTGACAGAGCCAGGAAAAAAAAAAGACCCTGGCTCCCAGATTGAACCAGCGTTAAACGGGTACCAGGTAAAATCCTTGCAAGTATAGGTGGCCCGCATAATGTTGACCACATCACCTAACAAGTGCCAGTAGGTCTGTGAAAAATAGATCCAGTCCTGTGTGCCTGCCTAATACACCTAAGGGCCTGGAAAAGAGTAATTTAATTTGTACTTTTACTTGTAGAGAATGTCTTGTAGTGCCATACCATACATGCATATACCAAGAAAAAGAGAGGGAAGCAGAGCCAAAAGCACACAGAACAAGATGGATAGATATAAGAGGGACTCTACAAAATGTGATGTGTCTATGGTCAAGGCAGCTACAAGAGCAAGAACTATAAATTCTCAATTAATACCTAAAGTGTGGTCAAAAAAGGAAGTGAAGAAGAAGAAAAATGAGAATGAAAGTTTGTAACTATGTCCTTTTGCATACACTTTCATTCTTCCCCAGTTTACAGCAGGTGAATGCAAAGAAGATAAAGAAGATAAGGCTTTCATTCTGTATATTAACTTTTTCAGGGCCATGAATTTTGACAGACTTAGCCCACATTAATTTCCCTTTACAAAAAGGGCAGAGGGGGTGGTATACAAGAAAGGCAATAGAGAATGTAATATACTTCTAATCCCTATAAAAGTATTTTTTTTTTTTGTGTGGAAAAGAAACGAATGTACAATTTTGAATCTGATGATAAGTGTTAGTTTAATTTTATTATAGTTAGTAGGAATTCAGCAGGTTTCACAACAACAACATTTTACAAATAAATTCTTCACTTAAAATGGTTTTGCAGCCACAAGAGTAATAAATATCGAAATTTGAGAACAAAACTTCAAAGTTTGTTCAATTTCCTAACAAATTCTAAAGTTACGATTTGTTGCTAGGTTAGTTTAGCACTCAAGGTCTCTTAGTTCTCACAGAGTGCTGAGCAAAATTTCAGAGAAAAAAAAAGGGCCATAACACTATCTCTTTGTTTGGAGCCCTTTCCTTTTCTTGCACCATAAATACGGTAGCAATGGAACATTGTCTGTGTAAACTCATCAGAATAGCTAGATTCATAACAGCTGATCGCTCAGCTTTGCTGATGAAAATTCACTGTCCGAATCACTTTCCGAAAAATCTAAATTTTCATTATCATTATCTGAATGAAAAACATCTGACTGAAACAATTTTGTGACCTGTACTTGTGGTTGAAACATTGGTATTCATGGCACTTGAAAACGAACCTAGAAAAATGCACTGTTGAAAAAACATTTGCTGCTAATCCATTCAAATTATGCATGTGTGACTTAGATAATGAATTAAACTAAAAGGATTTCCACAGAGTAACTTTTTCCTGAATAGTTTAATTGTTCTTCCGAACATTCGAAACAAGTACACAGCTGTGTGCGAAGCAAAATGCACGGGACACACGATCGACGATGGCAGCGTTGTTTGGGCAAAATGGAACTTCTCAAACAATGCTCACACCGTTGCTTGGGCCTCAAAGAGTTAACTTGGTAGAGATAATGCTAGTCAGTAATAAGATGTTTGCATCTTCTTTGTTAGTTCATAATTGGAAAACCATTTTGAGATAATTAAGTATCTTTGAGAATAGAATAATATTACAGAAATGTAGGTATTTTCCCCGTTCAAATTTGAAGCAGACATGTGTCAGTCTCAGTGCCAGATTTTTTTCTTCCTTTGTTTTTGCTGTCCATTTCTAAATCTGGTAGGTGACATTTTCAATCACCTTGTTTTGTTTCCTAAGAGAATTCCAGTAAGTATATTTACACAGTCCAGTTACTCTTAATTTATTACCCAACTATTGTAAAGGTAGTCCTATGACAGAATATTGCTGTAGCAGTTTAAAATGCTTGGCTTTCACATACTCTAGACCATTGCACAACGAATTGGAGTGTCCCATTTATTGCACTTCTCCATCCAAGATAACTTTTAAGATGCATTTATGTGCAGTTAGTGAGGCTGGGTTATGGTAAGAAAACAATTGCCACTGCAAAAAATTTATCCTGGACTACTACCCAAGCAGTCATATGCACTGACTACTATACAAATTATAATGGCTTCTGTACCATTGTATTTTACTATTTTCACAATTTGTTACACATAGCCACTAGCACTAGTTGTTGCAGAAAGTGTAGAATGTCACAACCTGGAGACAGATATCTAGAAAAGTGAGGTTGGAAAAAAAAACATACACGCACTTAGCAGGTGATAATAATACATAACATGATATTATTCGAAAGCTATTATGTGCAGGTTAGTAAATCTACCTATCAGCGTTAAAGCAAAAATAAAAGGTACCCAGTGTGAGACAAATAAAATTAGAATTGCTCTGGCAAATTTATAGGAAAACAACAACTTCAGTGCATGTAGATCTTGATCTTTTTATGTAAAAATACAATTACTTTGTATAAAAATGTTACAGAATAAAGTAGACTTGAAAACCCTGTTGCCCTGAGAAGCCAAAAATCTGAATCACATTTCTTACTTGCCTACAGTGCCATATTTGTGAGTCTGTGCCTGTGCAAATGTTTGCTTAAAATAGCATTGATGGGTGTTTTCCCGTGAACCAATACAGTTTTTTTAAAGCCAAGATGAGATCAAATTTTCCTAAAAGCTTCAGTGATAGAGGCATTCAAAAACATTGAATGCATTATCATCGATTCAGAGGCTACATAAAAGCAATAGTCATTATGTTTTGTGTTAATTTATCATTACAATTAAATTTGCTTTAATGCATTCTGTGCATTTGAATAAATGGATAGATCAAATAATATGAACAGACTATAAGCTTTGTTATTAAGGAAAAAAATAAAAGAACTTGACAAAACATAAAATGGAAAAAATATTATATGATTTAAAAACAGGTTAGTGAGCATTTAAACATGTTGTAATTATCATTGTTTCATTCCACACAGATAAAGTTAGGCCTCAAGAATGCAGATGGTGAATTTCGTTCAGAAACAACCAATGAGAATATGTTCCTGTTTTGTGACAACAAATGGCATCAGGTTAGAGCATCTGTGTTTGATGGAGAACTGACGGTGGCAGTAGATGGAGAGTATATAGGGATTAGCAAAATAGATGGGACGCCAACCAGAATGATCACGGACTATCCACTGTTTATTGGAGGATTTCCAGGTAAATATTATTGTTCTGTTTGATATATATAATTTAAAAGTCACTTATCAGTACTTAGAAAAAGAACATTATGGGTTGGTTATTTGAAGTTTCAAGTGCACTGCAGATGTGTCTTCCCATAACTGCTCCATTTCTGTGCATTTGGATATCACAAACAATTTTCTTCCTTCCTTGTCCTTTTTTGAAAAAAGAAAAAAAACTAGTGAAAAACATGTCAGTTCCAGCAAAATATTGAAGCCCACACATGCAAAGCAAAAGCACAAGGCAGCCATCAAATGTGCCAAAACTAACAGTCTTCCACCAGAGCAGCCCACCATTGATGCAGGCAGTCAGTCACACAAGATGGCATTTGTACATACAATACTGCAATAAATACATGCAGCTCCAAATGTCATGGGCCAGGTATCATATTTGGCATAGTTCACAACACATAGTCTCTGCAGGCACAACAGAAAAAACCCTATTCCAAATGAAATCTACAGCTTCTAGTGTGACGCCAAGCATTCAGCTCAATAGATGGGCAGTGGAAACTTTGGATTCCCAGTCCATAAACTGAGAAATTGCAATACCAGGCTGCAGCTAGAAAGAAATAACTTAAAAATGTCAGTGACCAGCCAGCCTGTCTGACATATTGGACCAGAAGATCTACTACATTTACATTAAAGGTAGAGCAGAAACTGCCATTTGTATGTGAACTGACCTTCATATATTCTAAACCCCACCACATGAGATGTGAGGAGCAGTTCCCTTCCTCACCACCTTATTCCTTTTCTGACAACATTCTGGGAATTGTCTGATCCCTGTATATACATTTATGAGTTGACTCCAGAGGGAATTGGTCAGAACAAATCCTGCCACCTCTTGTGACTGAACCTGCACCACTGTGAACACAACATTCACTATGCTGCAGTCGTGAAAAGAACTATACCTGCGGCACGCTTTTATAATTTAGTTTACTTCTTTTTTTTTACTGCATTTCATGATTTGTTGTGTGTGATTTTTCATGTTTTCATTACACACACACACACACACACACATGCACGCATGCACGCACGCGTGCATGCACGCACGCGCGTGTGAATGGTCACCTGTTGATATATTTATTAACTTTAATGCATTTAAAAAAAAATAGAAAGAATCATACTTTAACATCATTTTTTACATCAGATATTTTGTGCATGATTTTTCATAATGTTTTCAACAACAACAAAATAAGCAATGAAAAATAGAATTGTCGCCTGTTTATATATTTATTACCTTTAATGCATAAACAGAAATGCAAATAATCATAATTAAACATCATATAAAATTAAACTGAAACACATAAAGTATTTTATTAGCTGTACTATTAAATTCAAAAGACATGAACCTGTGTCTGATACACATACCTAGGGAGTATTTTGGATTAGCTACTTTAGACTTGGCACTTTCATGATGTGCCATGCTAATGAGCAACAGCTTTACCATCTCATGTGATTTCTCAAGTCTTAAACCAGATCTGTTGATCATTACCTGAATGTGACATTATCCCAACCATCTTGGCCCGGCTGGTTATCTCTTAATTTTCCATTTTCTCTGTTCCCATCACGTTTGTTCATTATGAAGTTAAATAGTGAGGACACAAACAGTATATTGCATTACTGGTTGCCAGGCATATTTTGCCATTTCTTATTAGGTCCATTAATACAGAGGTTACATCAGTGTATACTAGAGCCAGTTGTCACATTTATTTCCCATCCTGTTTTGTGTCTACACTCCGTAGTAAATTTATTAAGAGTCAACAGATGCCTATATGTACATGGAAGTGAATCATAATGGTTATCTTGTCAACATGTGGCATAAAATCATTTATATTTAAAAGTAAGAGATTCCACCCCCAAAGAATTTGTTAAAACTCATACTGACAATAAATACAAAGAATAGAACAGAAAATTGGCATACAATAAATCGTAATTATCTTCTTCTTCTCCATGATCACTTGCTATAAACTCTGGCAGAAAGTTCTGGGTATTCATACACCTCTGGACTTTGGTGTTGCATGCACATCCAAATTCACAAATCTGACTTATTTGTATGCAGACTCTTGGTATGATTAGAGGTGACAGGCAAGCAATGATGGTTGACTCTGTAGCAGCTGCAGTAGGGTGCTCACATGGTTCAGTATACAACATAATGCATGATCAATTGAAATTTAAGAAAGTGTGCTCAAGGTGGGTATGCAGACAATTGACAGAGGGACACAGAATGAACCGATTAGGCCTGTCCTTGCAGCATCTATTTTTGTATGCAGATGAAGAAGGAAGAAGAAGATATGCTGAACAGGATTATTACTGGAGATAAATCATGGGTGCATCACTACCAGCCTGATTGAAAGAGTGTTTCAATGCACTGGAAACATCCTTCTTCACCTTGGGTTAAAAAATTCAACTTTATGCTATCAGCAGGGAAAGTTATTCTGACAGTGTTCTGGGATTGTCAATGAGTACCTTTAACCAATAAAAAAAAAAAAGTGACAATGTGAATGCTGATTCATACTGTAAAGTTCTATCGATACTTCAGGATTCAATTTGAAGAAAACGTCCAGGTCTGGTGACTAGAGGAGTACTGCTCCTTCATGACAATGCCAGACCACATACGGCTCAGTTAACTCAGGATAAAATAAACATCTAAGTTGGGAACTTCTGAAACATCCACCTTGCAATCCTGACTTAGCCCCTAGTGATTTCCACCTTTGTGGTCCACTGTAAACCCACCTTGGTGGGAGACACTTCACGAATGATGCAAAAGTTGAATGTGAAGGTTCAGAAATGTGGTTCAGAAAACAGAGCAGCAGGTTTGGGAGGATTGATAAAAGGATGGGACAAGTGCATCAGTGTGGGGGGAAGTTGAGTTTAAAAATAATGGGACAGTGCATGTGTAAAAATAAACAGTTTTTAAGTTGTTATCATCTTTATGTTTTGTTTTAATAAACAACTATTTGTGACTTACTGAATCACTTCTCCAATATACAAATCCAAAATATATGTTTAAATTTAGCAAAGCTACAGATAAAATTGTAGACGTATCTAAAGGCCCAAAATGAATGTAAACATATTTTGTTATCCTGGTAATGTCTTTAGCACACATGAACAATTAGTAACTCATCAGCTGACAGTTTAGTATCGACTAGAATTTGATCATCTCAGCTGTTTATATTTCTCATTTAACTGTGTTTCTTTTTTCCCAGAAAAATTTCTGCAACCAGCCAGTTTGTCTGCAGACATGTTCATTGGTTGTATACGAAATCTTTCTCTAAATGGAACCACCGTAGACTGGTATGCTCTTCCAAATATGAAAGGAATCAGGAAGACAGCTTGCCCTATTTCCTGATACACTCATTTGGCATGACTATGCATAGTTAGGATCTTAAAAATAAATTCTGGTATTTAAAGATATAAGACAATGTGTGAGAATGTGTTTGTGTCTTTATTTATTTAAAAAAAAATCTTATCTGTAACAGCTAATTTTGCATAATAATTTTGCATAAATTAGCCTCAGTTACTTAGAGTGTATTTGTCAAAAAGAAGCATGTTGTTTTTGGGGCTGTGTAATTAAAAATAAACACATTAATACCTTACAATTTTACCTTAGTGTCCAGACAAAATATATTCAATTACGGTTTGAGGTTTTAACAACGGATTAACATCATCGCACACGGATAGTAATCCATAAGTGCTCTGTTCTACTTCTTACTCAAGTCTGAGTCCGAAGAAGCTTAGCACAGTGCGCAGGCTCTATAGCACCAGCGAGAATCCTAAAATACTTCCGATAGATTTTTAACTCAAACATTTACCCGGGCAGTGCCGTTAGGCTACTGATTTCAATTTCCAACTGCCAAGGGATTTTTTACGTGCACAACAGGGCGTCCAATCTCACCACCCAGAGACCAGGGGGAAATACTAGAAGTCTAAGTCCACAAGAAAAAATACCGGCCCTTACTGGAGATTGAACACGGAACCTCTAGCACTCAAGGCAGACACCATGCCTCAAGACCACACAGCTCCCTATTTTACTCAATTGATTATGTCAGTAAAATTATGTCACATCATACTTGTGATAACTCCCTATAAAAAGGAGGGGAAGCTAATATGTCCTTATTTTTTTCCTTGATATGCTTCAATCATGACAGCTAGATGGAGTCAACATTTCACCCCTTTAGTTTGGGCCATCTGACTGGTCTCTTATCACAATAAATAATAACAATAATAATCATAATAAAGAAATAAATAGCATAAAGTACTGTTGCTGTAAGTGGGGCAAAGGAGTGGCAAAAGTTGTGAATAAATTAGTGAGAAAGATGTTCAGGATCTCTGATTTAAGCATGATCTGATAAGGAACAAAAAAGTGGACAGTTATAATTAACTTGTAAATTTCTTGTCTGTTTTATAATTTAGTTTTCTGTCACCATTTAAAAAAAAAATTGTCAAGTTGATTTAACATTAATTACAAATTTTGCTAAAACTTAAGTTGGTGTTCAACATCAACAACACCATCCCATAACACTATGTGCCGTTGGGTCACCGGTTTCTGTTCACTGTCTGATCAGCTGTCTCCACTTTTCGCAGTCAGATGCGATGGACTTCATGGTTGCATGACTGAGGCCTGTCCAGTCAGTCAGATTATGTAACCAGGTCTTTCTCGGTCTGCCTCTTCTTCTCTTACCCTCTACTGAGCCCTGCAGTATTGTTTTTGAGAGGCCGTTACTTCTTATTACATGTCCATACCATTGCACTTGTCACCTTTTCACTGTAGTTAAATAAAGGTTCATAATTGCCAATGTGCTGTATAATTATACCGCAGATTTACAAGCTTGACTAGCTCTTGTTCTGGCCAGCCCATCAACATCATCTGCAAACCTTAAGTTTGTCATAGTTTAACCTCCTATACTAACTGTTCCATGATGTTGTTCTAGCTTGCATTGTTCTTAAAATACAGCAATGAATTAACATGTTTAAAAAAAATTGTGTTTTGTCTTCTCACATTGTATCAGCAGTAATATTTTTCTACTTAGAAGAAAAAAGTATCAGTATAATAAAAAGCTTAACAACTAGGGAACAAATTATAATATGAACGGCAGCCCCATGGTCAAAATGTCAAATTATAAAGATGAATGGAAAGTTGTATCACTAAAATCTGCACCAAACCAGACACTAAAAAAGTAAAGATGCATGATTAGAAAATATATTCCTTCTTTTTTTGTATGTTGTAATTTTAGTGTAGAAAATATGCATGCATGGAGTGTGGTGTGACACTTTTGATGTAAATTTATATTCTCTTCTTTTTGTGTGTATGTGTAAATTTGCTAGTGTTGTGTTTTAATGATAATTTCTGTTCAGAAATTACTGTGATGATATTTAAATGATAAGACATATGGCATGCATAATTTTACTCGCTATTAATATCATCAGCAAAAACGTAAACATGGTGACAAGTGCATATGAGAACAGTGGTATAAATGTTATCCATGTGCTGAGTGGTGTGAATTGAATAGAATGTTTCATATTAGCTACAGCTTTATGCCTGCAACCAAAAAAGCTCTGACTAAGGAGCTAGCAAAACACTCTATCAAAGGTTTACACGTCTGGAGTCGACGTGGTCAAAATATAAGCCCAACTTAAAGAAGCCAGAAGGATGGCTGGGCTGATCGGTTGGCCCTGTGTGATAAAAGCCTTGATATTGGCTGTCAGGTTTTTGCACCACCCAATCAGACTGCTTCTCAAATTTCTTGCACATGTGGGATGTTCATTAATGGCTTTCAAGAAAGTTTGATATTTTCTGTGATTTTACATCCGTTTGTTTCTGGGGTTACCTGTGCCCAAAAAATGGCAAAACGGACTTGCATCATAGCAACTGAAAAATGGCTGGAGGCAGGAAAATAAGTAGAACTTTGTGGCAGATTTCTGAAGGGCCTCCAAGGGCCTTACTTCCCAAAATACAGGTGTTAGGACTTATTCAAGCTTCATCCATACAAAAATGCACCCATATTTTTCAGGTTGGTTATGTTTCCAAGTTTTATAAAAATTGCTTGCATAACTTATGCAAATCAGAATAGGTAATTTGAGTAAACGTTAAGATTTCAGTTTGATTAATTAATATTCTGTTAGTTCATTCAATTTCCTATAGGAATATGTATAGTTTTGTAAATGTTAATTAAACAGTTAAAAAAAAAAATTTTGTGTATAAGCTATGAGAATCCCCTCATGAAGGCTCCGTCTTCTTGGAACTGAAACTCTAAAAAGGATCCGTCTCCAAAGGGTTAATGTTACAAAATATTAACTCTTGATTATATTTATTGGCACATATAGATGCATTGATTGTTTTTATGTGGATAGATAATAGGAATAATGACAAAACAGGAGTGTCTATTTTTGTTCCTCTATTTCAGTAATATAATGATAAAGATAAAATAATGAAATGTAGTTTACCATGGTCATTCATTTATGAAACCTTTAGGAGTTTTTGGCTCCATATTTAGGGATGGGGGAAGGGAAAGAAAAACACACTGTCCCTTAACAAGACAACTAATTAAACATTTACTGAAGTTGGATGTGTTGGCCCATCTGTCAACCACAATACAGTGCACCAACTACCCTGTTAAAAGTAAATATAAAAGAAGAACATATTTATTAACAGCAGGTCAGACTCGTTTTTTCTTCTTATCTAAACATATATGTGGCTTTGGGTCACATATTTCTTGAGCACTAAGTGCAAAAGAACTTGTTTTATGAAACAAAGAAGAATACTGGGAACAATATAAACTAAGTAATTAAGACAGTCTCATGTTTAAAAGTATAGGTTAGCAAAATATGTCCACAAAATTGTTTTCAACTCTTTAAGACCCAAAGAACGCATCATGCGCTAATCGGTTACAACCCTGCAATCTAGTCGGCGGTGACGACGAAAGTTTTTAATTTACATCTGCCAGTATAGCAGCGCAAATCGGCATTTTTGAATGGTATTTCCCATTCTTTGTGTTTGCTGTAACAGGCAGTAACCATTTGGGATACTCTGAAAATGTTGTTAAAAGATGTATAAAATGTAGCAAGTTTGTTAGCTTTACCGAGTTACTAAGTGTCTGGGTGAAAAAATATGGCCTCTGAGCAGACTTCTTCATGCATGCAAACATATTAAAAAAAAAAAACATGTTTATCAGATTTATTAGAAGCTAGACAAAGCAAATTGTGAAGTAGACTTGTTTAAGTCATTGATGGAGTAAAATCAAATCAAAATCAAATTTGATGAGGGGTAGCTCTGATATATATCTCACGCAAAGTCAATAATAATTACTAAGTCAGCTAGTATAAAGAGAATTAATATTATTGAAAAATCAATATTCTTCAGTGTCAGTTAGGTCAAGTGTGATTCCATTACTATTAACATAGGCTATAAAATTATGAGCAAACTAAGTGTTATAAAAAGTTTTTGTTTTGTCAAAATACTATTTTTGGAAGTCATTTTTCTTTACTAAAAAAAAAACAAATCCTAAGCAATGATGTTCAAAAGTTTCAGGGGCACGAGATCTAATGGACAGATCCTGTTTAAATTTTATTTATACATTACTAAGGGGTTCATGTTCATTTCCAATTAATTTTTTATATATATTTGAGTTTTATTGAGTGCTGGGTGATAAGTGAAAAAATTACTATTTCTTTTTTAAATAATGCGGATACAAACAATACGTTGCACAATTTATTGCCAGGCATATTCCGCTGTATCTCGTCAGGTGCGTTACTACAGAGTTACATTCACATGAAATAAAGCACAAAACTGAGTAAATTCAAAACAGACACAATGCATCAGAAGAAACTATTCGCATATCAGTTAAATTTATTAAGTTTTGTGCTTTATTTTATGTTGATGTAACTCTGTAGTAAGGCACCTGATGAGATACAGTGAAATATGCCAGGCAATAAATTGTGCAATTTATCGTTTGTATCCGCATTATTTAAATTCATTACGGAAAAACATTGTTTTGAATATTTCTTTTTTTATTGATTTAATTTGATTTGAATTGATTCAAGAACCGACATCCCAGCACTGGGGCATTCCCATAAGTGCTCCGTCCCCATCTTTAGCAGCCAGCGAAGAGTTCCGATATTAATGGTGCCAGTAGCACTCTGACTAAATGTCCGTCTTGCCTTTCCTCTGAGCCTCGAGCATCTGCCACAACCTCTAGTCACCCCCAACTGCATCAATCTCACCAGACTGTGGTGATCCATCTGCTCCTCCAAACTGTTCACGCTCTCCCACAAGGCACTAACCACGTCTGCCTTATCATGTAAAATTATTCCACCAAGTTGTGCAGAGCCAGCCAGTCTGTCCGCCTGTTC